AACAACCTAGTTTTCAGAGGCATCTAAAAAAAATTTTTTTTAATTATTTTTGAAATTTTCTTTAGATTTTTAGCACTGTGAAATTTTCATGATCTGTTCCCAGAACCTGAGTTTCGATGCATCTAAAAAAAAAAAAAATTTTAAATTTTTTGAATTTTCTACCGATTTAAGGAACAATGGTCGAAAGATCCGGTTTTGTGGACTTTGCCCGCATAGCCTAACGCAATCGTAATATGTGCAGGTCTCGGAAGTCTTTAGACTTATTCCACCTATTACGCGTAGGCTTACCTTCCAAAAGTCCCAAAACCGGTATTCCTTTTCGACCAATTGTTTCCAACATAGTACTGCTTCATATCCTTGCCAAATATTTATTTTCCAATATTTTCTCCTCTACTTGCTAACATATTCACACTGTAAAAAATTTCTGTTGAAGTCATTGTAAACTTAAAATATTTCTCCACTGCGTTTCCATTATGGTTTCATTTGATTCAAATCACTGTTTACTAATGTTCCGGTCGAGGAGCACTAAATTGTCTTGAAACTAGGCTTCGGGAATTTCACTTCACACATACTGAAATTAATGAGTTGGTTTCCTTGCTAAAGTTTCTCTAAGTCAACCCCTTTGTTTTCCAAATGCATATTTTCGTCAGTTGAGGATTGGCTATGGGTAATCCTCTCATCCGGTACTTGCTGACATTTATATGCACTATTTTAAGATGAAATTATTTGATAAACTATCTTTTCGTCTTTGATTCGGTTGTTGACGACACTTTCGCACTTTTTGACGGTTATTAAGAGGATTTTATCCGAGATTCTATCTATTATAATTCAATTGATCCAGCCATCCAATTCACTCTTGAAATGAATCCAACAATTCCTCCCTTCCTTGATATTCTTATAATCCGCAATGAAACTGATTTTAGCACAACTGTGTACCGTAACCCTTCCCTTTGCAGTTTGTTACCACCCCATGCCAAGTCATGCCACCCTGTTAAGCAAAAAATGGCTTCTTTTTTTACTATTATGTATTCCGCGCGCTTGAAGTTTGTTGCTCTGAATCTTTGCTTACCAATGAACTTAATTATTTGAGAGCAGTTTGCGATTGACCATGGTTTTCTTCTCCCGTGATTATTGATAAAGCCGTTAAAAAATTTTCAGATTCCCATCAAAGAAGACATTCCACTGTTAGAAATAATATGAATGACCTTGTCGTGCTTCCATTTTATCCTTCTGTTAGCTATAAAAATTGCACGGATTCTCCAGAAATTCATTTTCAAGTCGGTTTCCTCTCCCCTATTAATAAAATTCACCCTTAGATTCTAAAGATTGCGTTTCTGTCTTGAATTCTTGGGGAATTTATAGTATATCGTGTCATGTGGTTTAAGATATATTGGCCAAACAAAAAGAGCGTTGAAGTTTCGTATCAAGGAATATGAATCTTATGTCAGAAAAGGCGAAATTAACAAGTCTTCAATAGCGTATCATAATTGAACATTTAACCATAATTTTGACTTTGGGTTTGCAAAAATTATCCAAAAGGCTTCTTCCATTGGTGAATTGGATTTTCTTGAGGCTTTTCACATTCACAAAGATTTAGCAGGTTTAGTTAATGATTTGAAGTCCAATCCAGTCCTTCCTAATGCCTTTAAAATTCGACTATCTTAATTCAGTTATTTTTGCCGATAGATGGCGTTACCTCCTCGCGTTTGGTACTACCAGAGGGTATAAAAATCCATTCAGTGGTTGCTTTCCATTATTTGAAGTTCAGATTTTGAGCTCGAATCTCAAAGTGAAGGTGCATTTGCCCCTCGCTCCCTATTTTAACTTCGCTGATTTTCCTTTATGCTTGATCAGATAGCCTGGCTCAGTAAAAGTAGGCGGCCAGTGCAACTCTGATTAAAAATCCAGTTATAACCACGTGCAGTGCTGATAAGGACCACGTGTTTCTGAGACTCCTTCTCCTTTATTTCTTCTTTCTAGGTATTTCTTTCTTCTGATGAGGAGGGACCTTTAGCTGCCCTCGAAATCGATTGTTTCATTATACCTACGCTAAATACAAGGTTGTTTTTACGTTTTTGATTGTCACATTAGCGTGTTTCTCTTCTAGTCTAACTGTTAAATATTTAATGAGAATTTGAAAGATTTATTAGTGGCGCTGTTCAGTTTGTTCAGGGTTCAAATTTGTTTTATATTACATCACCAGTAAAATTTTAATTATTTGCTGGTGATCCTATTATCTGTCAGTTTTAGAGTTATAAACAAATTCATCTAACCAAATTAAGTACTAATACTACCATACCGAGATCTCTAAAGTAATGTTATAAGTAATTCTGATTTTCTGATGAGAGTCTCTATATTCGTGAAATAATGAATACCTGCGTTTTTAATAAATTATTAATGAATTTAATTATAATATATTTTCTTTAAACAAATAAAAAATTAAAAGCAGTTGTGCGTTCATGAATGGATTGTTGTTCCGTGATTGCACTTGATGGTGGGTGGAAATTAGGTTCGATGATGTACAAGACCTGGTGGTTGTTTTTCTTTTATCATTTGCCATTTATTGCTCCAAGTGACCAACGTCACTTTTACCAGACGTGTAAATATTTCGAAGAAAAATTGGAGTTGTGGCTTTCCGAATAATTTAACAGGAAAAAGAAAGAAACCTAGGTTGTTTTAGACGCACAGTTCATTAACAGTGGCGCCATCTGTTGGCAACTTATCGTATGTATTTTAATTATGAATAACTAATATTACTATCTTTCTAATTTAATGAATTAAACAACAAACAGTTTTAAATTAAGTTAAAGCATATTCATAGTGTAATTCTATGACACTTTATAATTTAGAAAACAGGTATCTAGAGTACACGTTATAGTAAGTGAAAGTGTTTTCAAATCAGTGTTTTTTAATTGAATATAGCATATTTATTTGTTATATCGCTTCATGAACAGAGTTCATTTCTTCGGGCACCTGGGAAGATTCCCTATCCCAATAGAATGTGTAAATAATTGTTATACCGCGTTGAAACAACAAAGCATTTCTTCGATTTTGAGGTGACATCCATAACAAGACGAAGGCCTTGACCTCAGTACCACCCCCCCCCCAAAAAAAAAGAGATTTAAAGAAAATAAGATAAATTAAATGAAAGTCTAAATTATATTTAGCAAATATTTTTATATTATCGATGTTTATTTATGAACGAGGATCAAATTTCTAAATTTCTGTTTACTAATCAGGAATCGTTACAAATGGTGAGGGCGTATCGGACTGCGAAATTTTAGAGCCTAAAGAGACACTGGACTGCAAAATTTTCGAGCCACTGAGATTATGTCAGATAGCAAAAAGCTTATTCCCGACCCTGTTATTAGCTACTTCTCTCTAAACTCATTATTTGTAAAAATGAATTATTTTCGAATACTTAGTAACTGAGAAAAAATTGCGATTCTAAGAAACTTTTCGTTTTTAGCGACATTATTTGCTTATTTGAGGGGAAGAAATGTATCTTTACTATCGAAAATAATACAGTACTTAAGTATTAAGGTAAAAGTTACTTATGGTGTGTAAACTGGTGGTCTTCGAGAATGTTTTTAAAAAAAGATTCCCAAGCTATCGATATACTATATAGTAATTTGGCAAACATTATGAACATAGGAAAAGAAAACATACTTTATTAATTTAAAATACAAATTTCAATTGTAAAAAACGTATTACTTGGCACATTAAATAATAAAACGAACTTTTCCCAACATTTTCCTGTTATTTTTTGTGATATGCTGCTCTCCAAGTATACAACAATTTAACAAAATATCAAAGAACTGCAGAGATATAGCATTGCGCAAAATACGGTAACATTGGGTATCTACCAACGCATCTCCTCATTGTTCCCTATAGAGACTTTGCGTCAGTTCTGTGTTCCTGAAGAAATTTTATCACAGTTTGTTTCATTATTGGCATATTTCATAAGCACATATTTTAAAATTAAGTTTAAGGTAAAAAAATATCACGATTTGTTTATAAAAGCCATTGGAATACAACAGCAAGGACGTATGCAAAAATGCTGACGTTGTTTGGCTGAAGGATTGTTATGAGCATTGGGTGCCTGAAAAATCAAAATGCGTATGGTTGCCAGAGTTTGGCACATTCTGAAAATTTGGCGGTTTCTACTAAGGTGGTTGCGATAATACGTAAACACCAAGAATGCCATATAATTATATGATAAAATATATATAGTGATAATTTCGCAAGTTTACGATTGAAAATCATTCTTCAGTTCTAGTTTTATGTGATCAAGGTATGGCCTTGAATTGTGACAAAATATTTCTTATATATTTAATAATAACGTCATCTGATTAAATATAAGAAATTAAATTAGTCCTTTTTCGTTTATAACTGTAAAAATTTGCTTAAAAATGTATGAACTTTTCTTTATTTAGTATACTGAATATTTTAGGAAGCAGTTTATTCTAAAGTGATGCGAACCAGCTGAATCTCATGATTATCTTTAAAATATCTTTTTACTGATAAATATTGTTTGGTTCATTTTATTTTTCAATGACTACTTTCTCTTCTTTCAATGTAACTATCTTGTTTTTAAGAAATATTTCTCAGTTTGAATGACACTTAATAATTTAGGAATGGACATAGTCGAAAGATATTTTATTTATTTTAAAGTTTAATTTGTTCCATGTTAAATTTAATTAATTTGTTTAAAGTTTAATAAATTCCATTTAATTTGCTTAGTTGCTTAATGGTAAGTTCGTTTCAGCTTAACCTTATATTACGATCTGCGCTTGGCGTTTAGCATTAAATTTCGAGAAATCCGATCATTTATGTATTGTTTTAATGTTCAAAGATTATATTTGAAGATTTCTACCCAGCCTAAATAGCTTTAGGATTATAGAAAGTTATTAAGTAATACTGTAAAACATTTTCTCTAAATACTTCAATTTTTTTTTTTTTTTTTTTTTTTTTTTTTTGTGTGTGTGTGTGTGTTTCAGACGGCAAGAAGTTGAATCACTTCCCACCAGACAATCTTCCATCGTGGATGAACCTCCAGCTAGCAAGCAGATACTTTGATATAGGCTTGGGTGTCTTTGGTTGGCCGTGGTATATATACAGAAATTTAACATGTGGGTGCTGCCATCTATTCAGACGTCTTACGTAAGTTATTTGAAATTTTTCGTATAAGTAAATGGAGCAAACGAAAACAAATTCAGTTTGAAAACGAGGCTGACTAGCATTTCAATTTATTCTCTAAATACATATTATAGTAAGAAGTAAAAAAAGTATTTCTGCCCTTTTCTTGAAAGCGGAAATTTAGAACACGTACAAAATGCTTATTGATGGTGGGAAAATGTCATTTAAGCTTATTATGCAAAATCCAGACAGAAAAAATCACAGACTTCACAAGCAAACGAAAAAATTAAAGCGACATATATTTATTGAAACTGCCTTCCATGTAATTGTTTTTTGAGAGAACATATCAGAAATTGTGTTTAAGGTACTACCTTTGTCATGTGACATTTAAGAACTAAAGAACATAATAATAGAAACTATCGCTACGAGCCACTACATAAACTGGTCACAATGAAACAGGAATAAGATTACCCACTGGATATTTCACACATAGTTCTCATACTGAATGCTTGCAAGGACATGTGATTTGGAAATTGTTTAATATTTTTTCTTATGTTTAATTTATTCGTTAATGACTTTTATTCCTGCAGCCTTTTGTAGCTGAATTTTTTAATGCAAACAGACATTGTAATAAAACAAACAAAAACAAACATTGTAATTCCGCAACAGCTATACGTAGCTCTTATTTTGCTAGAAGACCAAAAACAATAATGTTTTTTTGCTTTTCTTTGTTTTAATTTTAAAAATGTTTTAAAACGAGTCTTTTTTTTTTTTTTTTTTTTTTCCCTGCATATGTTGTGGACAATTGTTTTTACGTTTCATGAAACCTGTACATCGTTTTGACAAAATACGAGGGCCATCCAGGAAGTAGATTACGTTTCCGTCTGTGTCCGCTAGGGGCGGGGCTAGCGCAGCTCAGTCTGCATCTAGCCGTGCTAGTGAGAGGTTCGTGCTGTGCTCCGTTCAGATACTGTGACGGTTTGAAATGTCTGCGTTAATTGAAAATCCCGCGAGGTGCGCTCAGTAATAAGGTTTCTGACTGCAAAAAACTGTAAACCGATAGAAATCTATCGGCAGCTTCGTGAAGTGTATGGGGACAACATTATCACTGAAGGTGGAGTGCGTCAGTGGGTCATAAGATTTCAAAATGGCCGAACCAATGTTCACGACGAAGATCGAAGTGGAGACCCAGCATAGTGACCGCCGAACTTCTCGAAAAAGTCGATGCTAAAGTCCGTGAAAATCGAAATTTCACAATAACGGAACTTTCTTTGAGTTTTCCACAAATTTCGCGAAGTTTGTTGCACGAAATCATCAGCGAAAAGCTTGGTTACCACAAGTTTTGTGCAAGATGGATTCCAAAAATCTTGACAGAGGACCACAAAAATCAGCGAATGGCTGCAGCGTTGAACTTTTTGGACGCTTACCATAAGGATGGTGACTCTTTACTAGATCGCATCGTTACTGGTGACGAAACATGGGTGAAACATGTGAACTGTGAAACGAAATTGCAATCAATGCAGTGGGGGCACACAAGTTCTCCCCAAAAACCCAAGAAATGCATGCAAACAATGTCGGCAAGGAAGATGATGGCGACTGTTTTTTGGGACAGAAAAGGTGTAATTTTGGTGGACTTCCTGGAAAGAGGCACTACAATAAACTCTCAAAGGTATTGCCAAACTCTCCAAAAACTCAGAAGAGCAATTCAAAACAAGCGCAGAGGAATGTTGAGCTCTAAGATCTTGTTGATTCACGACAACGCCCGGCCCCACACGGCAAATGTCACTCGTAAAGTTCTTGAATCTTTTAAGTGGGAGTTGTTTCCTCATCCGCCGTACAGTTCCGACCTGGCACCGAGCGACTTCCACCTATTCCCAGCAATGAAGTGGCTGGCTATGCAGCGTTTTGATGACGACGCACAGCTGCAAGAAGAGGTAACGAAGTGGTTGAGGCGCAGGCGGCCGAATTTTTCGACGAAGGAATTTCCAAGCTCGTACATCGCTACGATAAATGCCTTAATTGTATGGTGACTATGTAGAAAAGTAGTATTTGAGTGTGGCTTTCATCTGTATATAATAAAATTTGTTTCCTATACTTTGTTTATTTTTTATTCCAATCTACTTTCTGGATAGCCCTCGTATTCTAATGACATTTTATCTCTTAGGTGTTGCTTCTATTGCCGAAAACGATCCAGCAAAGTACTGGGGGACAACTGCTGCGGTTGCAACTTAGCTGGTCTGGAAGCAACGACTGGTCTACCGTATGAAGACCTTGTCCACGTTAGCTTCGTAGACAAGGTCTTTGAAGTGCCTTTCTTTATCACATATGATCACGAAACTTCTGCTATCATTATTTCAGCTAGGGGAACTATGTCTATGGACGATCTCTTGACTGACGTAGCAGCTGGTTTCGCCAACATGGATGATCCTGGCTGTCCACCTGGAGCTCTGTGCCATGGAGGGATGCTGAGCGCTGCACGTGAAATCAAGTGCAAACTTGAAGAGACAAATATTATAGATATAGCGCTGAAAGAGAGGCCTGGATATAAAGTAGTTGTAACAGGGCACAGTTTAGGTAAGTAAAACAAATTACTTTATGAGCTTGATACCAATTGCATAAAATGCATATATGTAGAAGGCGTAATTATTACGCAAGAATTTGAATCTCCTGATGTGAAATTTTCAATCTTTAAGATATTCCGGAGCTTTTTATATTCCGATGTCTAACACCTGAAATGTAAAATTAACCTGCATATTCTTAAAGACTTTTTTATGCAAGACGTAGTGGGTTCCACCAACTGCTTTTCATATAAATAAATGCTAGATATTTGCGTGCTTTAAAACACATGTATCTAATAATATCAGTAATTTTATTTGCATACTCTATACTACCATGAATCTAGCTCCCTAATAAAATACTGAATGGTTTTCTTCTGTGTTCAAAAATTGCTCAGAAAATTCTTGTAAGGCAGTATAAAAAATTAGTGTCCGTTATCTTCGGCGTGAGAACTGTCCGAACTCACATACCTGCCTCCTAGCTTCTGACGCTTCAGAAAGAGTGTGTAGTCTGCTGCTTTTGGCGTCTATCATAAACTGACCATTGAATCGTTCTGAAAACGACAACACTTCAAACCCATCTTGATAAAAGTAAAACGCAGAGTAAGAGGATGAAAAATCTGACAAAAAAGGTGGTCGTAGGTTGTCAGTGATCTGTTTCTGATTTGAGATGAGCTTCTTTAGCCAAATATCTTTTTCTTAGCATTGCGATATTGTGTCGAATGGCTTAAATATCCTGTAACTTTTTTTTATTGCAATACGAACTACGTTGTCTTAGATGATATCACTTAATACATTCCTTCTACAGAATGTGGTTTAACACCCTAAGACAGACAAATTAATTGTTGTTAGTTTCAAGCACATGAGATGATCTTTCCGCGAATTTTTTGAACAGAAGGGTATAGCAATTTGTATTAAAATCGCATCCATGAAAGTATGTGCCTGTGGTGCTCTATCAATTCGTTTTCAAGCCTTAACAATTTTTTTATGTATGAGTGTGCGTGTAATTTTTTTATTTTGTAGACGAAAAAAAATGTAACATATACTAAATATTAAATCCATTCATTTAATATTCTGCTGATTTCCTAGTAGCATTTGTCCAGTGGAATCTATGTGAAATATTACGTTTTGTCCCACCTTCTGTAAAATCGCATTGGGAGAGGGCGCTACAACATTTATGACGTACGTGACTATTTGATTTACCTTTTGCGGATCTTAGTCTGTTCCTCTGGATAAGAATCGCTTTTGCGAAGCATCTTTATGTACTTGCAAACAAATAAGTTGAAGCCAAAATGTTGCAATCTTAAACTATTTGACGTTTGATACGCTTTGAGTTCTCTAAATAAAAAAGATATATTTAGATCCTACAATTTAGAATAAAAAATGAAAATAAATAAAATAAAATAAATGTATAATGCTAATATTATCTCTGTCTTTTTCTCTTTTCAGTACAATAATGATACTCTCCTATTATCTACCGAAAAGGTCATATAGATAATAATTTTTATTCTAATTCTTTAAATTTTTCCTTAACGAAGTTTCTCAAATTGTCATTTGCAGGGCACCTATATTGCTACAATCTCATGCTTACATATTTATCATCTGTAGACCTTTTCTGTATATTTATAAATTTTATGCTACAGCATCACTTTATCCATATAAACTGATGTGTGACAGTGTATAATGTTTGTGTCACAGCTGATAGCCAGACATTCAGCTAATTATTTTGTACTTTGATAGATGTATATTATCTACAAATTACATAATTTTTTCCCTGATTAAATACGCATATATTATCAGAGATTCGCAGACTAAAAGAATGGAAGTAATCTATAAGCAGTCCTTGGTAAATATTGCCACTGAGTGAAACATGAAGCTGGTATCCTGTAAACGGATGTGAAATGTTATAGGCATCTTTTCTTATAAATACCTCTACAGCCTCACCTCCTCTTTTCCTATAAATACACTCCTTCCTATAATCATCCACAGCAGTTTCAACAGTAGGATCGGCAAATCGAGAGTTTGAGCCCCAGTTTTTCCTAGACTCGGTTTTTCTGGTTTTTATTAGTTCTTTCTTGTGTATTTAATCAAGATTCTTCTCACTTACTTAATGAAGTACGTATTCTACTTATTTTTGCGTAACTTATTTCTGTTATACATACACGTATTTTTAGTATTATTCTAGACTTGCAATTGAAATAATGGTAATGATAGTTCGAACACTCGGTTCTTACCCGCAATATTTTTCGATAATGGTGAAAAAGGTTCCTTTTATTGCTTTTCTTTCGTAAATCAGCAGTCACAAGAAGAGATTTTGGGCAGCAAAACATAGTATATTAAATTTATCTTTTAAATTCAATCGATCTATTATAGATTGAAAAAATGCGAGATATAAAAACAATTAACGCATTTCTTAAATATTTATTTTAGTTTTTTTAAGTAATGTGTCTAATTAGTTTGAATTATTTGGATTACGGCAAAGCTCTCGAGAACTATCGGCTTAAGGGGACGGATGGCTTCGGAAAGAATTTTCTCAGGGAAAGTGAATCGTATACACATTACACACGAGGGAAACCACACAAATGCCCATGCAGCCAACCCATTCGGTGGGATTCGAAAACCTGGACCAAACTGCCAGTATTCAGTGACTTTAACGCTCGGCCGCTAATGATGTGTCTAATTGATACCAGTTAAACTGCATTTAATTTATTACAATTCTACTATGTCTAACTCATAAATATTATGAACTTCTGCAGTTTTGTTGTAATTAACAATCGACGTTTCGAACCCCATAACTTACGCAATTGGTTCAGAAATTTTTTAATATTTTTTTAATAATTGTATCTTTTTAAGCTTTTGAATATTTTTAAAATTTATAACATTTTTAATGGTATGTTTATAACTTTTTAATTTTTAATGGTTTCTGCCAACATCTGTTTTTTGAGACGTTAGTCGAAATCTTCACGTTGTTTTGTTTATTTATTTTAATGGCAGAAGATTGGGCGATATGTTCTCCTTCTTTCTGAGCACTTTCCTAACCATACTTTGGAAAGCGTCCTTCCTACATTATATTCTGCTGTTTGTGTCCAAGTATTTAGTTCTTTTTAATAATTGGTAAAAATAAAGTAAGGAATGTTTTACAGCTTGTTATTTATTATAAGCTACTTTGCTTTTAATTTCGCTGTATTTAATTAATAAAATTGTCTTCCAATTAGGTGCATCTGTGGCTTCTATCCTTACTTTACTTTTGAAGAATTCGTATCCAAATATTCAGTGTTTTGCTTTTGCACCAGCACCTACTGTGAATAAAATAGCCCTTCCGTCCACGTTTGATAATGTGTTTACTATAGTGTATGGAAATGACAGCGTAGTTTATCTTAATTACGAGAATATTAAGTACATGGTAGTGGAAATGGTAAAATGTCTGAAGAACTGCAATTTACCCAAGGTGAGTAAGCAACTTCCATATTTTTAGACAGACACTCTGATGAATATAATGAGTTTAAAATTATATCTCTAATATGGATTTCAAATATTCTATTAAAATTGTTAGGATACTTCAAATGTTTTAATTATGAAATGAATATTCCTAAGCTCGTTTTAGTTTAAACGTTTTTCAAAATATGTAATATGTGATAAAAAGTTCGTGGATATCTTAAAGTATTTTATTTATGAAAGGAATATTTCTAATAGCGTTTTAGTTTGGCTTAAAAATTTGTCAGTAACTGGTCAAGAAAAGTTTATTTTAGGTTTACGAAATACAAAATAGGTTTACAAAATAGGTTTACGAAATAGTTTTTAAAAAGTAAGCTGGGTAGAATTTAATGCAGTATACTTTTAAAGGCCGAATTCTTAAATAAAAAAACATTAAAAAATGAAAATATTAGGAATTCCCCGTGAGGAAACAGAAAGTGCAAGAAAAGTTTTCTGAGAGAAGGAAGCTTAAAAAAATTATTTATCTTGCTGAAGATGCCAATAGGAGCACTAGGCTTTTTTCTTACTTATTGCGTGCTCCACCCTTAGCGCACTAGATGGTAAAGAAAGAATGCCCCGTGGAGGATTTTTTTTAAAGGAAACTGGCTCGTATCCACGTTACACATGGGGGAGAATAAATAAAAGCGTCAATGTAGCCAGCCCGTTCGCTAAGACGCGAATCCTAGACCCCGAACTACCAGTGTTCAGCGGCTTTTACCCCTCAGCCGTTTTCGGGCCAGCACTGTGCTTTTAAATTTCGTTATACGATCAACCAATATTCTTCCATCAGCCCGATATCTATTAATTATATAGCTTAACATTTCTAATGTTCTAAAATATGTCTGTTCGCATTTTACTGAATGCTTAACCCAGTTCCAAAGTATTTTTTTAAATTTTTAAATCAAAGTCTGCTGATCAAATACCATTTTTGGGAAATAAATTTGTTCACTTCCCAGCTGGTATATTTTCTTCATTACCATACGGTGATATCTAAAATGTGCTGGGTCTTAAATGTATTTTTTATAATATGTTCCAAATATTTATTATATTTTAACTAATTGTTAAATGCAGTGCAATCATCAGTGTGAATAATTTTATCTAGAATATTATATTATACTTCTTGTGCACATAGGAAATTATTATCTGTAAGACACTGTTGTGTAGTTTGGGTGTATAAAATATTGAAAAAAATGTTACAAAATTGAAAAGGTCTGTATATAAAAAATATGCAAGCACTTGCTTTAAAGAGAATTGTATTACTATATTTCAATAAATGTGCTTCAATAATTTGTTATGTATATTATTATTAATCAATAAGTGTTAATAAAAGCTCAGTATATGTTTCTAATTCTGCCATTGAACTAGGATGAATGTTTTTCAAGTGGGTTTTTTTTGGGGGGGGATGCATTTGGTCCTTAAAGTAGACAGATTTGAGTAGCACAGTATTACTTGTATGTAGATTTATATTTATAATGTTCTTGGAGATTCAGAGAAATCGGAACAAATTGGCAAACAAGAAGTCATAAGTATCTGAAACATATGAAAATATAGGTCTACTTTAGCATTTATTGCTATTAAATAAACTAAATCTGTCATAAAAAAGTTAAAATTTACCAGCATGTTAACACGGAAATTCTTGCAGACTTGACATGGAGCCACTGGCATAAAGATAGCTTAAATAGAAGTTAGTATAGAGATAAACCAAAAGGTTAGATGTAATAAATATTGGGCTTTTGAAATATTTCCTTTGCTACCAGATTAAAATTTTAGTTCAGAAAATAATAAGACTTTAAGAACTTCATAACACTTTACCAGCAAACAGAGAATCGCATGTGTTCTATTACGATATGGGCAAATTAGAGAGGGGAAGGATTAAGTAATTCTTGAGTACAACAATGTAACATATAGTAAGCTGCAACTCTTGTATAATGTTTTCGTTAATATATTTTCTAATGATTTGTTGATTTATTGCTTTATTTGTATCTTTACTTCTCTATGCCCAGTGATTTTGCTTTTAAAATTATGAAATAAAATAAAAGTAAGGTAAGAAGGATCTTAAATTTTCAGGAACCTATCAAACTCTTTAACGTGAGTGACTGACGAAAGGAAGGAAAATTAAATATTAAAAGTTTTTAATGAAAGTGAAATACGAAGTCTGTGTTTAATAATAAATTTAAGAATAAAGTTGTTAAAACACTTTTATATTCCTTAAGATAATACAAATGACATTTAGTAAATGAAATGTATAATTAAAACTCTTAAATCTTGACGTTGATTTTTCTCAATATAATTTGATAAAACATTGTTGAGTAACAATTCAGATTTTTAAAACTTCACCAGAATCTTTTGAAATCAAAGAAAGTGTGGTGAAAGGAAGTTTATAACAAGAGCTAACATAGAGAACATTAAAAATGGGATGATAAGCTTTTCAGAAAATTAAGAATATGGTGCTCAGGATTGCCTTAAAGTAAAAAAATGCAAGTCAGTTGAAATTCCAACAGTTGCATTCATTTCCGTTAAACGTTAATAAAACAAATCTTTTCAAAGTTTTGAGTTAAAATATTTAAGTTTTTTAGGCTGATTCCGAAAGATTCGAAAGAATAACAAATCGCGAAGATTCGAATTTTCGAATCTCAGATTTTTATAAGGAATCGTAGGATTCGAAGATTTAAATGTTCCATTGTTTGGAAAAGTAAAAAAGGGCTTATTTTACTTTTTTTTAGTACAAAGTATTCATGAACTATCCGGAGCCAGCGGAGATACATAATTCAAATGAGAAAAGTGCAAAAATTGATAAAGATCCGAAAGCTAATGGGACCTGCAATGAAGGAGAATGTGTGAGTAAATTTTATCATTTTTTGCATTGTCATTTTTTTATAAAATTTCTTTTCTCCGTGTCCTCGATATTTTGAATGCGAAAAAATATTTCAGGAAGTGTAATTAATTTTTAAAATCTTATTCATTTTCTGTAAAATAAAACATTCCAGTTGCCTTAGAAATATAAACAAATACGATTTAGACTTTTATTTTTCTTTGCTGTTATTTTGCGTCTAATCCGATCAATGTAACAGTTGTTTTGTAGTAAGCAAGTATTTAATAGATAAATTGTGGTAAGTTGTGATATTAAACATCCCTTTTTAATATCATAACTTACTATAATTAATTTCAATTAAAAAAAAACATGAATGTGAAATGCGCCTATTTCTAAATACTTGTTAAGTACTAATTTTACAATTTTTGCTGCAGGACTTTTCTAATTTAAAAACTAAAGTTTTAGCCCTAATAGATTCATTACAGTGCGTTGGGCATAAGCGGGTAAAATATACTCCTTAAATACTTATTCCAGACGTATATTTCCAAACAATAAGGTTTCTAAAAATAAAGTAGAGAATTTTGTTAAAACAGAATACGTTTTAAAATGCAAAATTAATTTTTTATATTGTCCTCATATAAGTCTAAGTACTAAGAAAGTCTAAGATGTTTTAAGTTTAAGAGGAAAGTAAGTAAAAAGTAAATGTAAGTAAAATTTTCATTACAATAGATGAATTAAATTCAAAAACTTCCGCACGTTTCTTGAGAAGTTCAGGGAGATAGGAGCAATAAATAATTTTTTGTGATCAGGTATATAATTTATAAGTATTTGTTTAGGTCTTCTTTAATCCCAAACAACGTCATTAATTAATTGCGACGCCTTCGTTAATCACCAAAATGAGATACGCTTGTTTCGTAATTGAACACTGAGGATTAGAAAATTTATGGATTTAATTTGGGTCGAAAATATGTTTTGAAAGAGATTAAAATCAGCATATTTGCTTTGCACACATCTTCATATCAACATATTTGCATATTTCTTCATGAAATTTGCACAGACCTTCTAATGTGATATTGAAATTTTAATCAAACCTTACGTCCGTTTGGAAAGAATTAAAGAAATGTTTTTTACCGACTCAGTCAGCTGACTTAGCTACCGGGAAAAAACGTGTGCAAAATGTAGAAACTGTTATTAGTATGTAGTATTTAACCTTGTTACTTTGGAGTCTTCCCCTCCGTGATGGTATGTAATTCCGTTTGGTTCATGTCTGTGGTCGGAAGCTATCATAGCGGTTCACTCACTAATAGGAATAAATGAATGCAACGAAGTATTTAAAGTAGGCATTTTGTTAATATCTATGTTTTCGACATTAATACTCATGTGAGTTAAAAAAATGCTATATTAACCTAACCATAACAATAAAATTAAAGATAATTTTTTACCGCTTCAATTTATGATTTGTTACTCAGTGTAAAAATGCTGCAACTAAATCATATTTGTGCAACCCCCAGTCTATAGAATGTCCGGGAAGTCTTCTTTCGTAGGTCACAGGGAGCTAAGTCAATACAATTTTAGTTTATTTATTTAGAATATATTACACCTGAGTTCTTACATATACGATCTATGTATCCAGTAGATCAATATGTGCTTCATCTTGCTAATCTTCTGATTTATAGCTTCTAATCTAATCTAATCTGATTTATAGCTTCATCTTGCTATAAAAATATTATATATATACGGCTCCATACTGCTGACCATCTAAAGGGGTTACCTTTCGAAAGGCTTCTTGCACACTTTCACAGAATTCGTCTGCCCTGTATAGATGATGAGAGACGTATGACTTTATTATGCTCACAATCAGCTGTCCGGTCTTCTTGGAAATCATGTCAGTCCCAAGAAGTGATGGATATGTTCAGTTCAGACCATGCCCAGTTCAGAAGTTCAGAGGTTTTTCATTAAAAAAATCACGTACCTTAATAGCAAAATGACACAGTTCTTCTCCATTATTCCCTTATCTTGCAACTGAAGTATTGGCCACGTTTGTAAACATATGTAAACAAAAATACCCATATACATATTTGCAATTAAAGCAGTGTAACAAATAAAGCAGTGTTGCTAGTATAGCTAAATTTACAGTGACATTGCTCAGTGTAATGCTCAGATCTAAGGTTGCGGAGACTTCCCGGGAACTTTGCAGATCATATTGATCATACGATCAGTAGATTTATCCTCCAAAGCTTGAATGTTTCAAATGTAATAGTCTTATTGAATAGCAGTGTAAGAACATTAATCGACTTTTATGTTTTACTAATTGAAATGCATTCAGTGGGTCCAAATTTATCATGAAACAACTGTCTACAAAAGTACAAAACATTTATAAAGTAAAACATTTACTTTGTATTCATTAATATTTTATAAAATAAAGTTCTAAAGCATAAAATGTACTGTAACTGAGGTACATGGAGTAGGGCGCAGCAAGTTATTTGCCTTAAATGTACAAATATTTTACACTACACTTGAAACTAAGAATAATATTCTTCTTTACAGTTCACGTCAGGTAGCCAGTGTAATGCTGAATATGGTGGCTTGAGTGCGCCGTTTGTAACTGAAAGTCTGTATGTTGGTGGCACAATATTACATATAAGGCTGACAGATGATGGGTTCGTATATTTATTATTTTTATTAAGAAAGTAATATTTTAAAAATGTTACCTTTTTGCGTTTTGTCCATTTTTATTTTATATATATATTATAAATAATGCAAAATAAATTAAAATAAGTAATTTCTTTAAAATCCATCCCATATTCAATTCGAAATTAACTATATGCAATAAAAATAAATAAAAATAAGTAAATAAATAAAACAAAGAAAGGAGCAGTGGCAAACTGCATGAAAGGGACAAAAACGCTAAAACAAAAAATGGAAAACAAATTTATGTATTCCGATTCATCATGATCAGGGGGAAGGTGCAAGGAAAGAAATGAATCAATCTGTCTATTTCTGAACCAAGTTTAATACTTAAAATTATCTCAGAAAATCAGTCAAAATAATCTGTGTCTTTATCAGTCCAACCTCTATAAGCTGTAACATGTAATGAGAAAAATTGTAAAGTTATAGGATCAGAACTATACACAAGATTAAAAATATTAATTTTGAGCAGATCGAGTACAAGAAACAAAATATTTAAATGCAAGCAATCCAATACATGAAAAGATAATAACATATGAAAATTTTGAAACCATACAGGCTGGAGTAATTTTTTTTTTTTTTTAATTATAGCACGAAAGTAAAAAAAAAAAAAATCTAATAACAATTATTTGCAATTTTAGATGACCAAATCAAAAACACAAATATTTGTGAAACTGAAGCAATTGGGCACAATGAAAAATATAACAAATGAAAACTTGATCCAAAAAAATATAAAATAAAACCAAAAATAAAAAATAAAAAGAAGAGGTAGTTCTTAAAATCTGTAATATTAGAGCAATTTGGCGTTTTTTTTTTTTTTTGTGTGTTACCATTATTTATTAAATATCATGTTCGCATTTAAACCATAAAATTCAATTCAACAGCGATATCGTATGAGCATATCTCCAGAATTTCTGATACACGGTCTCGCACGCTGGAGATGAAAATGTTTTCTCTGTGCTATTGCTCTCTTTGAAATCGTTGAGTTTGTTAATAAAAAATTCATTAAAGTGTTACAAAATATGAAATCGATAATGAAGCAAATTTCAAATTCGGGCTTCCAGATGCCCATATTCAGTGGAAGATTACATTATTCAAAATTTGATGGCTCTAGGTACCGTTGTTTTATCACAAGGCGAGAAACATACATACATTTATGCAAATTCTTCGTTAGTTAATTTCTTTAAATATAACACAGGTCTCTAATATTTGGTGGCACAATTTGAAAAGTGAACCGACGCAAAATGCCAAAACGAAATTAATAGCCCTTCTGGGCTAACAAAAAAAATTAATAAATAAAGGTAGAAAGCGAAAGAATATGGAACTCTCTGAAGCAGGCTTTCTTGAAACTTTGAAGCCGAAGTAAGCCATTTTGTTAATTAAAGAAATAGATAATTATTAGATAGTCTGTTTTAAATTAAAGTTATAAAAAATTGGAAAAGAATACTTAATTCAGCTATGTTAAAAGGCCGCCAGACTATGCCGGCATAATGGTTTGGATATTGATCATGAAAAACTGCAGTTTGGTGGTGAAAGTATAGTATATTTAGTTCAACAACTGCACTTGAGGATAGTCATTTTGATGAAATTATGCGGAATTTTATTATCTGTTAGCATTTTAATTGATAAAACTAAGATCTTTAGTAAAATCATTGTTGTTATTTTGATTCTTCTTGTTTCATTAATATTAGTAACACTAAAATTGTTGTTACCTTTGTCAATAGTGGTAATAATAAATAGATTTTTAAGCTCTTTACTATTTTTTTTTTGAAGCTCCATGTAGTTAAAATAGGAGTTATTTTTTCATTGCAAAACTTTTGTTGCTCTAATGTTACAGATTTTGGTGTTGATGTTTCAGATCAAAATAAAAGAACAACTTTTATTTTAATTTTATATTTTTTAGAATAAACTTTCATTTGTTATTATTTTTCTTTTCATACGTCGGATTGCTTCTGTTTTCTTGGACCCGATCCACTTAATTTGAAAGTATTTATGATTAGATTTTCAAACTCTTTTGCTTGTTTATAATTTGGATGTTATAATTTAAAAAAGAAATTTTTCCTCCGGCCTGTGTGGTTACAAAATTTTTATATTTTATTATTTTTTCATATTCTGGATTGTTTTTTTAACACATTCCGTTTTAGTCAAAATAGATACTTTCTAAGCTTGTAAATGGTTCTGATGCTATAATTTTACAATTTTTTTTCGCTACCTACTTTGGCCTGAACGGGACGGTACGATAAAGCAAGAAATTACTTTGATTGATTTTCTGAGACTATTTTAAGTATTAAACTGTAATTTGCGTCTTTGTCATTTCAGAAACAGGCTGATTTATTGACTTCTTTCGTTGCACCAACCCCCTGATAATGATGCAGCGAAAGACGTAAATTCCTTTTTCATTTTTGGTTTGGGCAATTTTTGACGCGTTTATGCAATTTGCGACTGTGCTTCTGATTTTTATTGTCGGCGTATGGTTTATTTCTAAGGAAATTACGGGGTTAGATTTTAAATGTTCTTTATTTTCATTTATTTTGCATTATTACCACCATTTGCTGCTGCTTTCAGTGAGCAATTAGATTAGGTTTTGAACTGCTTTTTACATTATTTTTATTTATTTACACACGCTCAGCTTATAATATATATAACCATCTATAATTTATTGAATTCGAAAACAAGCTATATATACAAAATTATTAAATTTCGAACTAAAATCACAAAGACATGAAAGAAATGAAATATAAAACCAGTACAATGCCGAAATCTCCCAATAAAATATTTAAACAGAGCCCATCAATTCAGTGCTTTTTAACCAGAAGGAATTCCGGAGAACAATAGAAGTACATAAAAAGGAGAAAATGAAGAGGAATGCAATCAAAATCTGATTCAATGCTATCAAGAGGAGGTAGATCAGATTTCAATTGAAGTCAACTTCTTAGAAAAGCCACTGCATTTCTTGTATGTGTGTCGGGATATTTTTGTTGTAAAAAAATTCTATAATACTCGTACTATAAGATAAAAAATATGTAAATCAAAATTATAGTTTAAATTAGCGGTAACCCTTAATTTCACCTCTCTATTCTAAAAATCGTAATACTTTTACTGGACAGCTTCATTTCTAGATCAATCTATCTTGCAGGGTTTGCGTAACGCTGATGGAATAGCTAATTGGGAACTTGAACTCAAAATTTCGGGAACTAAAACCTATCTAACCTAAGCCAAAACTTTCTCTTGGTGAGCCTCCATATTGGATAACTGCGCATTTTAGCTTCAGCTCTCTTACAGTCAAGATGCTAATCCGCTTCCTTTGCTTTGTCGTGCTGCTAACTACGTCGTTATCTAAAATATGATATTCATTCTGCATAAAAATTGTGGAGTGCGTATTACGCCGTGAATATGTTTCAATAATTAGTTCGTATCCTGCAATAAAAATTATGTTCGATTCAACCATGTCTATCTACAAGTCTCTCCTCGAGTGTCAGCTTTCTAACTACGCAGTAAAGTCTCCCGAGGATAATAACGCAGAGAACCTTCATCAATCCATTGCAGCGTATTCCAAGATATAATAAGATACAATAATAATATTATATGTAATAAAGTGCAATAATAAGCAAGGTACTCGCTTGTTATAAAATTTTCATTTTCTTTATTTTAATTCAGAGTAAAAGATATTTGCAGTGTAGAGACATTAGGATTTTTTGAAGCAAGAAACATGAAAAATGACCAATGCCCTCGCCGAGACTCTAACCCAGATCTCTCGAATACGCACCGGGTGTGCTAACCATTGCACCACGAAAGCATTTATTATTAAATTATTATTATTGTTTAAACTGCCATTTGATGAAAAGAATAATTATTTAACATCCAGCGTTGTGATAATGTAAGTAAATATATTTGACAGAAAGTAAGATAAAAAAAAAAGTGCAAATGAGGTATTTTTTACAGCTACTACTGTAAAGAGGCAACAAAATATTTTGTCCTATCTGCGCAACATAAATATGCAATAGTGTTTTTACTGTTTTATTTCTAATTTTTTATATTTATATTTAATGTTAAATGTGCTTTTGTGTAAATATGCTTCTATGTCATTAGATCAGAAAATTTTTAAATAATAAATCCATTTAATTATTGAGGTATGCACATCAGTTTTCATCCAGCGATTTACAGACATGGTAATGATTTAAGTGATTTTCCTGATACTATATTATTATCAGACGAGAACCGGTACTTTCAGCATGGTGTGGCCCTTAACAACTATATTATCATATTATACATCATCATAAACGTAAAAAAATTTTCTAAAATCCTGAAAGCTTTCCAAACTCTCAAATTTTTCATATGTCAAATCTCACGAATTTCTCATTGAAGTATATTGATAAGAAAGGGGGACTTTCACTTGATTTTTAAAAGTTTTTTACTAAACCACAATTTGGAATCTGTGTTTAAGAAGAAAATAAATAAAATAAGATTTTAGAATACAGTTTTTAAAAATACACTTAAGAAAATAAAAATGAAATTTAATAAATAAATTTTATTTTTTAAAGTTATAAATCGATTTCAAAATGTAATTTTTCCAAAACAATTAAGTTGCAGTATATTTCTTTTTACAGAATCTCTTCAAGTCAAAGAAAGTGTTGATTAGCTAGGTTAACACAAGCAAACATTAAACATAGAAGGCTAAATTCTATCCGGAATATTAAGAATGTGTTGAGACAAAATTGTTGCGAGATGATATTGGTGATCCAAGTCCGTTAAAATTGCAACAGTTATATTCTTTTTTACCCTTTTAAAGAACGCTTCTGTTGGAAGTCAATAAAACTGATCTTAAGAAGTTTTGAATTAAAACGTTTGGCATTTCTAATTTAAGATTCTAAATACTCGACTGAAATAAAAGGCGCTACTGTTTGAAGTTTTGGATCTTTACTAAGATTTGTGGTGATTTGGGCCGAGAACTTCAAATTGTTGACCATTGGTAGTTCGACTCAGCTTCAAATCTTTCAAAATTTCATGCCTAGAAAAGTAATTCCTTCTAGCATCTATCTCCTTCTTGGTGATTTGAACTTCTTTGCCTTGTAAGATTTATCTAGCAAAACAAACTACTACCACGGGGCGAGTAAACAAGATCCTAAATACCGCTAATTAGACAGTGTTCGAATCCCTAAGAAAGGGCTGAGTGCATGGTATTTTTTTTTCCCGTAGTTTCTTCCATATGTAAAATTTAAATATAAATAAGTTTCCCTTACAAAGATACCCGCAAAAGCAAAAAATCTCTATAGTAAGACATCCCGGGTATGCTTTGATGTACTCAAACAAAATTCACGCGATTAGAGTGTTTCATCCCTTATAAATATAGACCAGGTTACCCTACATATCATATAACAAACGTAGACTTGCTGTTAAAATTCTCATCTTCATCGTAATGAAAACCTGAATGTGTTACGATTCCTTCTGGACGATTCAGTCAGGAATAAAAATGAATAGGCATTTTCACACCAATGAATAGGCATTTACACCAGATACGCAAAAATTAAAAATAGGAAGGAATGGTCTACTGCTTTTGATTTCTGTACACGTCTACTGCTTTTGATTTCTGTACACAGAAGACTGGGTTTTTTGAAAGCAGATCACAGCCACTGAAAATCTTACTTGCGTTGTTCCTTTAAATCAAGGCGGGAAAACTTACAGCAATTTAAAGTATTTATTTTCCTTACACATTCATAAATTTTTAAGCTCATTCAGGTCCTATTCAAAATATTTAAAGAAAGCTACTATGAACCTCATATTCTTAATGGTTGGCTCTGTATACATCGCATATCACAAAAGCTCTTACACGGACTTTATTTTCGCAGATATAAATTTCCAGTTACAAAAAATGTTTTAAATGATACAGATTGTCATGTTTTTGGCATTTTTAAATTTAAAAATATTAACTTTGTAAAAATTACGAAATTCAACTTTTTATACATTCCACCTGTCCCCATGCTTATATTTAGGAAAATTTTGTACTTACTATAAAAAGACTCTCTTATGACAAGAATTGACCAAGGTATTTCGCTTTAAAGTTGTAGATCATATTCAGAGCCGTATACAAATTTAAGAGCGAAATGTTTGCATTTGCAAGATACTATTAATAAGATATCAGTTTATAAAAAAAGGTTTCTGGTGTTAATAGATTAAGTGGCGAGCATTTCTAACCAGATTGTTGTGTAAAGCTCTGATCAATGAAATGTTTTTCAAAAAGGAAATCTTATTCAAAGAATCTTAAACAGAATGCGCGTTCTAGCAAACATTGGCAGGCAAATAACCAATTCGTAACACTGCATACATAAATTAAAATTTTTTCTAGTTTAATGAATTTTTGGATGGTTTGCGTATTTGTAGATTACGATTCCAAAGAAATAAAACTGCATGGGAATATTAGTAATGCACCATAGTTTTAGCGACTAAAACTATGGTGCGTTACTAATATTCCCATGCAGTTTTATTTCTTTGGAATCGTAATCTACAAATCCCACCATTCAGTTTTAGCGACTGAAAGCTTATAAATCCCATCATTCAGTTTTAGAGACATTTTAACAGCAAGTTTTGTCAGTTTTAGCGACATTTTAACAGCAAGTTTTGTCAGTTTTAGCGACATTTTAACAGCAAGTCAAAATCTAAAAATCCCACCATTCAATTTTAGCGACTGAAAGCTTATAAATTGCTTTCGGCACAGTATTTGTAACAAATTAATAAATCAAAGGGTCTTACACTCTAGTAAATCCCAAAAGACTATTATTGAATGTCATTTAAGGGGAAAAAATCACCCTGAAATTATCCTAATTTATTTATTAACTGACGTCTTTAAAGGAAGTAGAAAGGGATGTCAAATGCCCCAATTTTGAAATTTAGTTATTTCCGTCAATTTTGGTGGTACAAGAAATAATATTTTTATATTTTACTTTCCATGAAAATTACAAAATTTTACTATAGGGGCTGGAGGAATGTATAAAAAGGTAGATTTCATGATTTTTAGGGGAAAAAAATTTAATTTAAAATTTTCAAGACATGTATGTTTGCTCATTTAAAACAATTTTATTATTTAAAGTTTGTGTCTACGACCAACTGTTGCAAAAATGAAGGCTGCGTAAAGACCATTGTGAGCACGGTATATATGTAGTTTCAATTACAAAAGAGTCTTAAACTATAATGTCAAATTTTATGAAAATAATTAGAACACTCTGGGCCCGAAAATTTCAAAAAAAAAAAAAAAAAAAAAATCTAACATTAGTATATTCCCAGCAGAGGTTCGCGTTTATAAAATTATACGCCTTATTTAACAAATATTGTTAGTGAAAGTATATGAGTAGGACTGATGCTTAAGGAAATCAAGTGGTAACTTTTTTTATGAGCACACCGTATAAAATCAATTAGATTAGTTTCATTCACAGGTAGCTACTTCCGTCAAAATAATTCTTTACTTCTCTTGCAGGTATCGGATGAAACTCTCCACAGCAGATGATTACAAAAATTTAGCCTTCCGTCCAAAGATGATCCTTCATCACTTTCCTCAATATATCCAGGGATGTCTGAGGCATTTGGGAAAAACTCCTATGGTGAATGCGACAACTTTAGTTTGTCCACTGGATTAGGTTTGTATAGCTCTCTTTATTATACATAAGCTATCAGTGTATGTTCTAGAATCAGTAGTGTTCTACAGCAATTAAACAAAATTTAAACCCGTTTTTATAAGCTTTTATTTAGTTCACTCCTGACGGTGAAACAAAATACTAATTTATTCCATCATAATTACGTGTTTATTGTACAGCAGTCATTGTACAGCAGTCATTTTACAGCAGTTAAGACAAAAGGCTTTTCTGGATATCTCTCGCCATTAGTTAGATAATTCCTGATTTTTAGACAGGCCTGTGATTTTGTCTTCCTATCTTTGAGCACTAAAAATTACGCAAAAAGATTTACCACGACATGACTATTTTGTTATCCTTGTCTAGGCGGTTAAAAGCTTATTAGCACGTAATTTGCATTAGCTATCCTTTAGCATCAGAAAACTAAAACTTTTCAGGGAACCTTAACAATTATTTTATCTACGTCAAGGGAAAAAAAAAAGAGAGAGAGAGTTTCGGAAGCGTTTTCAAGGTTACTGTCTATCTGAAGAAATTAGATGAATTACAGAGCCGTTTAAAATGAAAAACAAGTAGTTTACACTTCAGTAACGGCATTAATGGGAGAATGATATGATTGTGGATTTGTGCAGCAATTGTTATCAATTTACATAATTACGAAAATCAAATGCGTATACACATCGTAAATGTCTCTTCGACTCATCTAAGTAGTTGCGCAGAAATCATTTCATTTGCTTCACATTTCCAGGTTAAAATGCAAATGTTACCTACTGCACGTCTTTAACACGTTGACTACCACGCCAGGTTTTAAGAAAATCTCCGTTAGACTACGAGTGCTGCTACATCATGCGTCAATTGTTTCAGATAGTAGAAGCTTAGAACATCTAAAATGAAACTTTCTGGGACATGCATTCAATTTTAAAATCTTTCCTCAAGAACGAAATATCTAATAAAGGGTGTGAAATTCGAAAATTATTTCTTATTTTCCAAATATTTATTTTCAAATGTATTAAATTAGTTCAGTCTTTAGCTTATATTTATAATAAATTTCTCAAATAATAAAGGTTAACACCATTAAATAACAAAATTTTCTTCGGCCATTTTAATTTATTTCAGAAGCCATTCTGATTAGTTTCGTACTCTAATACGAATCGTTGCAACAACTCAACTCAAATTCAGTAACACATGCTGAATGATAATGGTAAAATTTTTAGTGCCTTTTTACCGGAAAAAGTAAAGTAAATTAATCAGTCACAGTCTAGTTGCCTCAGAATCAAGTACTCTATTCGAATTATTTCAATTTGATAGTTATTTTTCAGAAAATAAGTATTATACCGTTATAATCAAGATGATGAGACTAACAACAATTTTAATGTGGAAAACTGCTAATCATCTGATGGTTCTTCAATGCAGATTAGATGACAGATCTTTTTCGTTTAGTTCGAAAATTTATTGCTCTGTTATTTTTAGAATGAAGACAAGAGTTAAAGGTCTGTTAATTTGTTATTTGAAAGCTAGATTTTATATATAAGTACGTATATATACTATGTATATGTATGTGTGTTTATATATATTTATATGCGTGTGTTTATGGTAACTAAATATTCATTTATGGCTATCACAGGATCAAAGATAAAATTTCAATAGGATCAGATAGGATCAAAGATGAAGATTTAAATGAAATTGTTACCCATGATTTAATTAACAGCTTAATGCTTATTCCAAAAACATTGCTATCTGAATATTGCAGGTTATAGCTTGACATCTCGATTACATTACGGCATACCATTAAAATTTTAAACAGCTAAAAATATTTAAAAAATTTTAAATAAAAAATTCGTAATATTAAAAGGAATTATAATCTGATTTTGGTATTAAGATTTCAGTTTAATCCATGAAACTGTAGTGTCCAGGCGGTTTAACTTCTATCTGGATACAGGAGTAGCAGGAAACTACACATAAGAAGGGTTCAAACCCTTTATTAACTTTTTAAAATTTACGCTGTGTCAACTCGACGCTAACAAACTTCGCCTCTACTTGGGCGGTAACTGAAGAGCAGGTATTTGGAAATCAAAAGTTGAAATGTTTAACAAGTGCTAAACTAACCTACAGGGCTCAGCGAGATACCGAACTTCGACCACCTCTATAACTAGTGGCAGCAGATAAATGCATTTAAGCCACTTGAAAGAGCAATCAGCAATTGTACCTACGGCAAAGACGGCTGCTCGAGCCCAACTTTCTCTAACTTCCCTTCTAAAACCTTGGTATTTAAACTTTCTTCTTTAAAGTAGGATTTGCATTCACGTCACGCGCGCTACCAAAATTTAACTATTCGGGCTCTGACAATTTAGGGGAATGAAGGCTTATAGAAAAGTCTGAACTAAAATTTAAATTATTAGTTAAAATAATTATAAATCCCTACAAAACAACAGGCCTATTGATGTCATAGAAATTTAGGAATTGGTGGCCGAAAATTAAACGTATAAAGTTTGAATTATATACTTTTAAGTTCCCGAAAACTACGGTCATTATCTTTATTTTCTTAATTTTATGCCGGGCATTAACCATGTTGTTAGGCTTTAGTCACTGCTAAGGCCGAAAACTGTGGCCATTTTATTATTTAGGCACCTGACTTACCATTTTCTCGCCTTGTCGACATTATTACGGTCATTATAAAGAAAGAGAGAAAATGGAATCTTAATTATTGTACCAATTTCGGCCAATGCTGACATTTCAGACCACTGGCCCATCAGCCATGCAAACGATAATCTTTTGCAGTGTTTCACTAACGATGAAGTCGTTAAAACTTAAAGGTACGAATTCAACTGCGGCAAATAATAATATCAGGACATGTGTTTGCTGCAATTCTCATCTTTTTTTCCTACACAGATGTACTAACATGTCATCATTTTCACCATGTACACTGTTGATTATGGTAATTATAGCCCTTAACTTCAGAAGTTAGGTTCTATAATACTTGCAGGATGAACACTTCGAAATCAATTTTCCGTAAGCTGGGGCAAGATTATATAATATAATTTTTAACATAATAAATAAGCTTATCTATCTACCTATATATATGTGTATATATATATATATATATATAATGAAGAGTCTGTCGTGGTGTGTGTGTATGTGTGTCTTTCGTTAGCCCTGCGCGTAAGCTAAATAGACCCAGGGCTATGAAATTTGGTACACAGGGTGCATCTAGACAACAGCCAGTGCACCTCGAAATGATGTTTTCAAAATTCGAATGGGATTTTTTTTATTTTATGTTTTTTGATGAAATATCATAAAATCGATAATTCTCTCTCATTATATCCAGGGCTTAATTTCTAACATTAGAAGTGCCGCAGCCCTATGGAAGACCGTCAGCAAAGAGGAACAAGAATAAATAAAATGACTATTGAACTCATTAATAATTTTAAAATTAAATAGTTAATTATTATCAAATTAATTAATAGTTATTTAATTAATGTTTATAAATTGTTATTTAATCAATAATTATTATATAATTAATTATAATTTAATTGATAATTATTATATAAGTAATTAGTTATAATTTAATTGATAGTTATTAGATAATCAACTATTATTTATTGAAATAATTAAAGATTGAATTAATTAAATAATCAAAATTAAATCAAATGTAATGAGCTAAATTTAGTAAGCGATTTTTAATATACTTTTATTGTTAAAATCAAATTTTCGAGATAAATTTCTACTGAAATTCTTATTCAATTACATAAAAGAAGTGTCGCAGCCTTTTTATTCAGGGCTCCGGTACGTTCCGGCTAGAATTGTGATTTATTACAAAAACTAAGAAGCACCGGAGGCCACATCCGGTGGGCTCCGGCCCAATTTAAGCTCTGATCGTAGGGGGGGGGGAAGTTCTTTTATCATCACAAAAATTAAATATACTTAAAATATAGCTGATGAAAATTCCAGGGCGAAAGAAAATGCGGGTATGAGTGGGTGGAAACAAAAAATGAGGAGAATCTTGGTGAGAGAGAACGTTCTCTTTGACCGGGGCTCTCTGCTGATATAATTATAGCCATCAAGCAAATGTGTGTCAGGGGTGAAATGAGTACTGAATCTGACTCATAAGGATGAATGTAAAGTTGCTGTTTACGCTTTCCTCCACATTAGAGGATACTGTGGGAAGAGGATGTATAGGACGCGCTTGAGCAGTTTATCTCAGTATTTCTCTCTTATTGTACTCGCTGTCACTTAACGCAGATTTAAGAACACAAATTTTCCTTCCTGCGAGGATAACTAACCATCGATAACAATACACTAGATACGATGGCATGGCGAGAAATTTAAGCGTTCATAAACAAACTCCTCCAAATTTATTGCCCTTCGTAAAGGGAAAGGTTTCCACATGTGAGTGAGGGGACTTTACTTGAACGTGTCATGCTCTCATGAGTTCGTATTTCTAGAGAAATAGAGTATTGCGAGGTCTGCTTATTGTTAAACTAAAACGTTAGGAATTATAAATTATTTTCCCTTTAAATTGTGGTTTAGTTTTATAAAAAGAAGTACCGGAGCTCATCTTATTTATCTCCGATGCGCTCCGGCTAGAATTGTAATTTATCTTAAAAATTGAGAAGTACCGGAGCAATTTAAGCAGTGATTATATCAGCAACAATGGTACGCAGCCATTGTTCCTGATATCAGCGGGAAGTTGATTAATTTATTTATTAGGATAATTAATATTTGTATTAAGGGCTATTGCTTATTTCATTGTAATTTTTTTTATATGTGAGGCATTTTTATTGAGATTTCTGCTTTTTTTCTTTTTTTGTGGATAAAGTTGTTCCACAGAGTAAAATTTTGAGCAGTTTTTAAATTTAATGTATGGTGTTCCCTTTGGGCATTTTTAAGGTACATTTAAAAGCCAGACGAAGGCTGGCGCGTAGCGGCTAGTTTATTGTATTTCCTCTGTCTAGTTCGGCTGGAAGGAAGGCAAAAACTTTTATTTATCCTTCATTTCCACTTTAATCAAACTGGACTATAAACTTTCAATTTAGCATTAGCAGTAATTTTATAATGTTCCTTTTCCAAAATATAGTTCTCTTTGCTTACAGATTTGCCGTCTTTATAGTATTATAATTCGTTCAAAAATTTCTAATTAATAAACTTTTATTATGTTTTTGAAAGAAAATTGTCTTACTTTTTAAGTGCTGTATAAACTCTAGTCATAATTACGTGGCATATAGATTTCGAAGCTAAAAGTTATGTTCGTCGTAGGTCCTTTATTTTACTTTGTAATACATTTCTCTTTTGTCATCTTAGCTATGCTTAGGAATCCAGCAATGATTTCCTTCAGAATCATTTTTGGAATTTTTAAATAAATTTTGAAAGACTTTGTAACTGCTAGTAAATCCAGTCACGATAAAATATGCATCAAACCGAAGTTGCGTATTCATATTTTTTACTTATAGCTGGCTGCAAATCCTTCTATTTTGTTTTAATTTCTTTTCCATAAATTTGGCTACCGATGAATATGCCTGTGATGTAACCAACGGTTTCTTTTTTTTAACGAAAATTCTAGAAATGATGATTCCGATTAATACATACTCTGACGATCATGTACTCAGCAATGTAATTAATATGATTTTTTTTTTTTTTTTTTACAGGATGTCGGGAATTTCTTGCATGTCTTCAATCCATCATCTTCTGTGGTCATTAGAAGGAACGAAAACTGCATCTTTTTGTATAGAATCTTCAAATGAAACGATCTACTTACCAAGAATGTGTGTCCCATTTGTTTAAGTCATAACTCCATGATAATGATTAGTTGATAACTGATTCAAAACAAAATAATTCATTGTGTTTTCTGAATGAGTAAGGGGAAGTATGATGACATGTTTAAAGACAAAGTAGATTATTTTATTTGTTCTTAATTTACGTTATCATATTAACAAATAGAGATAGATAATTAAATGTTATGCTGAAATTAGGAAGATGATAGATTTTTTAAAATTTTCCTGAATGCATTTTTTTGGCTTCATTCATGTTTAATTACATTTAAAATTCATTAATACAAAGCTTAAAGGGATAAAAAATTTTAGAAAGGTATTTTATGTTTCTTCCTATTTGTCTGTCGTGAGCTTTCTGGAAAGTGGAAATTATCTATATTAACACATATATTTTTTACATTCCGAAACGTTATTAATGCTTTATAGATTTCCTTTGTATGAAACAAATACTTCACTACGTCTGATAAGGATGAAGGATAAATTTGTTTTTCTGTCAATATGAAACATCTCGGAGATTTCTCAATTCAAAATCATTAAATTAAATTCATGTTTCTCTAGTTCTATAAATTTACATATACAGGTAGTTTCATGTAAATATGTTATTTTGTTATATATTGAATCATTTGACATTTACATAGAAAATATGAAATACTGTGATAATTTGAGATCAAAATGTGTATATATGTTGCTCATTTGTTATTTTTTGTACATGAATTTGTAAAATATACGAAAATGAAGTATTCATATGTGTAATTACTTTAGAATGGTCATTCTAAATTTTTTATCCATATGAATTCTGAAATACGATACGGTTGTGACAATGAATGTATAAATTTACAATTATTTACTTTGAAAACTGACTTGTGAGGTTAAAGTGCAAGATCCTATGTATAATTTTGCAGATATATAATTTCTTGTGAATTTTCGACATTGTGATGTTGTACAGATATATAATTAACATATTTTTATACCAAATATAAATAAATGCTTTTATTAAAACAGTTTTTTAATGAATTAATTTCAATGCAGTATTAAGCGAACATCAATGTATTGTGCTCATTATATGTTACAAATATGTTTTCCCCTACGAAAGTTAAGGCACTAAGAGCTTTGCGTATTTATCTTTAAAAAGATTAAAATACAAAATCTAGTTAAAAAATCTAATTAATAATAATTTCTGTAAAGCTTAACAAAATATTTACATGACTGGAAATTGCAGTTAACATTAATTTACAAAATGAGTACATAATTTTAACATAGAAAATCCCTTATTATTCTTGTGTACTTGTGCTTTGATTTCGAAAAAAAAAAGGCTTAGTAGATACTGAAATTTTGTATCTGATATATTTTCTGAGAATTCATTAACTTGATTCACAAAAATGGCGAATATTTCGCTGAGTGGAAAGAGCCTGCCACAGTCTGAAACGACAAGCTGAATGTCAGCCATAGTGCGATCAACGGAGGGTGGAATCAGTCCTTAGCTAGTCTTCAGTTTCACGAAATGAAGTTGTCTTCCTCCAGTTACTTCAACAATGAATTCTATCGTCGTCCTCCAATTACGTTAGCAAGACTTTGCAATGCCTTTTTCCAATGACAGCCCTGTCTGAGAATCCCATTCTAGCTATTTAGGCCAAAAGATAAAAAAAAACAGAAATTGCGTGCAAATTTGATGCTGAATTACATTAAGCATTTTTACAGCAACAAACAGATGAATATCTGCTTCATCAGTGAGAAGGTTCCATGTACAATACTTTTTTTTTTTTTTTTTTTTTTTTGCAAGAGGACCTTTTGTATGCATTTCCCACTGTCGTTCACACAACGCAAATCCACTACGTTGAACAAGGAACAGACAGCAATGGAACTCAGTAATAGATGAATCAACATATTTATACTGTGAGTCATATCGTGTAATGGGCAGCAGAAGGAACAAGATTCAGTTCGAGCAATGTTCTAGAATAGAGCACCTACGGAAGAAGCCACATTTTTGTTTAAAATTCAGCTTCGAAATATCTTCTCTTATAAGCATTTATTTCTCTTAAAAGGATTGATTTCGAACACTTATGGAAAAAGACAGCTGCTTTGATCAACAAGTTATTTATTTCTGTAACACAAATTGGATATAATAATAATAAAAAAAATTGAGATTACGCCACGGAATCAGTTACATGACAAGAACTGTAACAATTCTAAAGTTCTACTCTTGCTCCCACCGTTAATTCACGTCACTGCTGCAGCTTAGAGAAGCTAGAAGTAACACATTTTATGCCACTGCTCTTTGTATTCTAAGGTGAAAACTTTCAGTATGTTAATTTTGATACTAGTGAATATCAGACCATCTTGGCTTGAGCAGAAATCTCTCTGAGCCTCCACACTGATCTCACTGTGTTTACTGCGACTTTGGATCTAACACGTGGGACTATTTACTGCCACTGTCCCCGATTCGTGTTTTAATTGATGATAATTAGAACATTAACTAGGGACAAAATGGTGATTAGCGTATCTCTACTTATTCTTTTCAAAGTATCTACTCACGGAGATAAATTTCAATTGAAGTTTTAGTAGATTTTATGTATCCGATTTAGTGTTACGAATTCAAAGATTTAACATCCAGAAGCATTGCCTTAAAGATGGTAAATCTGTAAGAGAGAAATTTGACTGATTACATGTTTACAGAGATCAAACATCAACACGATTTAAAGTTTTTCGTTGGTACGTATGCTTTCTTGGAGGCAATTAGAGATGATGAAGATGAAAGTAAACGGATGGTACCTTTAAGAATATCTGTCATCTCTTAGAAAAAAATATTACTTTTGCTTCGAAAAATAACAGTGATCTTAACATTACAGAAAATACGTAGTAAATGTTTTTGTAGAAAATCGTTTTGAAAAAGAGATAATGGGTCTCATTTTAAGTTACATACATTGACCTAAAGGGAAATTCCAAAATTTCATTTAGTTGACAGGCAACAATTCGTGATTCTTTTAAACAGATTGCAGCTGGTCACGAAAACTGGTGTATTATTTATATCGAAGAGACAAAACAACGATTATTATTTGCGTAGGTAAGAGAAAATTCGCTTCGAACCAGTTTCAGAAATCTCGAGTAAAGGTTATTCTAGTATATTCTTTAATTGCCAGTGAATAATTCTTGGAGAGTTCTTGCCTGGAGGCCTGATAGTTAATTATATGCTCTAAAAGAGTGTAACAAAGCAGCTTCTGAAAAATAATTTGGTACATTAAGACAAAAGTAAATCTCTTATCTTTACCCAGTATTAATTACCGCCTAGCATTTTACGAAATGAATGCAGTTTTTTGGTCATCATTTTAATTGCCAAATTTGAACATCTATGATCCCATTTGTGTTTTCCAAAGCTGTCTTATCTTAGCACTAGTTTTCGAAGATTTCGAAAATTTAAAAATATGTATATTTATATCATCGCTGTATATAGCGAGGAAATGATAGATTATTCCAAAAACTGACCTCTATGAAGGCATCCTGAAATTTTACGTTGTTAAGGTGAATATACGTACATGCATGTATGCATAATATTAGAAGAAATATACAGGTTCATCATAATTGAACTGATTCTACTCTGACCTATTTAGGGCTCGTTTTAGTTGATATATTTCGTTGAAATTTAGTGTATACGTTATATGGACCTTTAGGGGGAGGGAAACTGCAATAAAAAAAATTATTCAATTTTCGGCCACCATGTAAAAAGGCAGCAAATAAAGAACAAGAAACACAAATAAAATTGTGTAGAAACGCAAACTGAACCATAATCACAGCAGCTGTTCTATCTGCGCTATCAAATGTTCAAAGCATATTAAACAGTAGCGCGAAACGCTTCTTTAGGAACTGCGACAGTATGGTATGTTATGCTTGCTATTAAGGCAGAGTCCATAGACACGATCTTACAAAATCCTCATAATCAGAAGTCACATAGAGGCCAGGCATTCGAAAAACTTCTCTGAAAAACCTGATCATCTCCAAAGTGAGCGCAAAGCAGTGTCTTCACTTATTGACCAATATAGGCATCGCACCATCTTGCATGGGAATAGTAGTTTGTAAACATACTCACTTCTTCTTGCAAAATAATAATAACTTGTTGCTGCAGAAATTCGCAGCACTCGTGACGGTGCACCATTTAAGGCGTTGAAGACTACTCTCCTCAAAGAAAAAGGGACCAAGAATAAAGTCAACATAAAAACCGCACTCTACATTATCGTAATCAGAATGTAAAGGGTCTCCGTGCGCAACACTGGGGTTTACAACAACAGATAAGCGGCAGTTATGGGTTTTCATTGCTTTGTGCACGGCAAAATATGCTTCGTGTTCAAAGCCCTGCAATGTCAACGGTTATTCTCTCCAAAAATCGGAAAGCAAAATCAATACCGTTGATGCTTGAGGATGCAGCTTTTGCATCATATGGATGTCACTTTAAAATTGATTGCAGAACCTTTCGTGTTGTAGATCAAAGGATAGAGATATAGTTTTATTGTTTTCACAACTGGCTTTGGAAGAATTTTTGATTTGCATAATTGCATGGAAAACGCAATCTAGTGATCGAAATTTTAAATGTATTTTTATAGTAGTTTTCATTTCCCCATAAGCCATATAACGTATATACCAAGTTTCAACACAATACGTCTACTAGAATAGGCTGTAGTTAGTAGGCTCTGAGTTTGGTTACGTTATCAGGTTCAATGTTTCTTCTTACCTTCTTCGGAAACATACAATGACCTGACTCGAACAGAGAGCTTACTAAAGCTATGTTCAATAATTGTGGGAAGTAGACAGGATACAGACGAAGGGTATACAAAACCCTTTATTTTTTTCTCTTATATACAATAACTTTCCGTACTTCGGAATACAAAGACCCTCCACTTGGGGTCTAACGTAAAAGATATAAAATAAAACTAAACTCTAATTTAACTTTAGAATAAGATTGGCCTTATAATTAACAGGAAGCCGTATGTAGTACAGAGAACTGTGAACACTACAATACGTTTAAAATTTATCAAGAGGATTAAAACCTCTGGCCTGGAAGGCAACCAGTAGCAACTGAGTAAAACTTCTAAGGTAAGCGGCCTGCTTCGAAACTCACTGCTTCCTCTCTCTCTGCTTGGCAAAAAGCCACAACTTAAATACTTGGCGTTCGCCAGACAAACTTTGCATAAATACCTTACGCTTATAATTCTGGCCGGAAGTAGAAAATAAGAAGTGATAGTAAAGATTTAAAATAAAATAAACGTTAGTAAAACTTAAGATCCTTACATACTTCCCGCCAGAGTTAATTAGTTTGAAACTGAGGTCTAAAACGACCTTGTTGAAAACTTTTAGCTCTAGAATCTAACGCGAGGCCAATCTTTTACAAAAAATTTCTTCGCTAGAAAACTAGAAATTTTAAAAAAGAAAGAAAAGAAATTTGTTTACAATAGCAGCTCCCGGAATATACAACAATCTTTTTTTTCATCTGTACTGCATCTAAAACAGGAGCTTTTATTCAAATCTGGTTCCTTCCAGAGATCTGGAAGGAAAACTAGTTTAATGAAATGTTACACAATGAATTGGCAAGTAACATATAGAATATATTTTCTTAACATTCTTATTTCATTCATGACTATTTTAATTATCTCTCCCCGTGCTCTCTGACATGTGTTGTAAAAGAACACCAAACACGAATGTGTTTATGTCTACGTGTTCAACACTTCCTCCTACAATCAAAACACTAACGTGTTAAAATTCAACATACGAAGACCTCTTAACACACCCTAATTCAACTCTAAACCCTGAGGTACTATTCTGAAAGTGGCTAACTCTAAAGTGTAGCGTCAGAGAGCCTAACTACATCATTCAACCTTTAACACATATTCACCATGATTTAATCTTTTTACAGTCACACGAATAACAAATTTTTAACATTACTTTCACTTTTACCATATCACGGTATTTCTTAACATTTAAAATAACAGTTCACATTGTATATAAGAACATATTA